GATCTACTCCCCACTCTGTCTCTGGTGAGTCCTCTCCCCCCACCCCCAACACTCCCCCCACCCCCAGCACACACATACATTCTGGCACCTTTGGTCTACAGCTCAGTTCTTCTATGCAAAAATAAAAATAAATAAGTTAATGGCCCTCCCTGGTGGCGCAGCAGGTTAAAGCACTGCACTGAGAAGCTAAAGCCACTTCTGCATGAGTTCGATTCCCGTCTGCCCCGGAGGAGACCACATGGTGTGGCAGACCTCTCCTGGCACGCCCGCTGCTCCCCTCAGCAGTGTACTTCGTCGATCTGCCTGTGCTGCTCCCCACTCTGTCTCTGGTGAATCCTCTCACCCTCCGCATCTCTGGCCTGTACCCCAGTTCTGTATGAAAAAATAAATAAATCTTTAAAAAATAAATAAATAAATAAATAAGTAAGTTAAAAGCTGTGAGATTTTACCTTAGAGTCAAACTTTCCTTCTGAAAAACTCAAAAGATGGGGCACAGCGGATCGTGGGTCTTGACTGGCAACAACCAGGTAGGGGCTCCCTGGTAAAGCACTTGAAACTAGGCCCACACAGCCCTGCTGTGACCTACCACTCCCCAATGTGGTGACAGCTGCCCCTGACCTTGAGTTTGTGGCCTTTTCGTTCACAGCAACACCAAAAGTCAAGTCAAAGCAACACACAAAGCTCAATAGTGAGAGGCTCATTCCCACCTTTCCCCCACCCTCCGAAATACTTCTGCTCATTCCTGCATTTTTTCCCCCTTCTTCCTTACACAGGTAATAGAATGTAAATTTTCTTCTCCCTTGCTTTTTTCACTTGCACAGATCCCAGGGATTGTTCTAGGAGCAGTACATACAGAATTTCCCTTGATATCCCACTGATTTAACTAGCGAAGTCATTTAGCTAGTGCTGTATTGAAGGGTAGACTTCACTTGTATAAATATTCTTCAATGAATAACTATGTGTGTGTGTCATTTAATGGATGATAAAGTCTATTTCAGGACATAGATTCCCACTTATGAGATTATTGGTTAAAGGGTAAATGTGTGTGCAATTTTTTTAGGTATTCCAAATTGCCTTCCACATGAGTTTTAACATTTTGCATTCCAAACAAGAATGCAAAGACATGTCTGTTTCCCTTCAGCTTCTCCCACAACGAATTTGTTTTTAGACCTTTGTTGTTGTGACTGACAGGTCCTAAAACCACATTTTCCAAGGCAATTATAATTTATACTTTCAATCAAGGGTTCTTTCCCCATGCATTTGAAACATTTGTATTTCCTAAGAACTGTCCCATTTTTCTATTGGATTCCTATTTCTGTTACTAATTTTTCTATTAAATTCATGTTGTTTTTTTCTCTTATCAAGTTCTAGGAACACTATATATCTTCAAAAACTATCCCTGTTGCCATAATGATGTGCACTGCAAATACTTTTATCCAGTCTGTCATTTATGTTTTGTGTTTGTGCGTATATGTTGCTGTCTGGCATGCTTAAGTTCAGTTGTTGTGTTCTCTCTTTTTTTTTTTTTTAAAGATTTATTTATTCATATGGAACTGGGGTACAGGCCAGAGATGTGGAGGGTGAGTGCATTCGCCAGAGACAGAGTAGAGGAGCAGAACAGGCAGATCGACGAAGTACACTGCTGAGAGGAGCAGTGAGCGGGTCACGAGAGGTCTGCCACGCCATGTGGATCTTCTCCGGGGAAGGCGGGGATCGAACTCATGAGGAAGGGGCTTTAGCTTTTTAGTGCAGTGCTTTAACCCGCTGCACCACCAGGGAGGGCCCCTTGTGTGTGCTTTTTAAATGAAGTTAAGTGCACTTATTTACTGCTTGCTTCTGGCTCTTAAGTTACAGTTTAGAAGAAAGGTCTTCTTCATTGCAAAATTAAAAATGAATTGACTCATATTTTCTCCTAGTAATTTTAGAGTGTCATCTTTCCAAAAATGTAAATCTTTGATCCATTCAGACTGGTGAAGGTGCATAATGAGAAGTGAAACTTTTTTTTTCCTACTGGGAGCTCAACTCTAGGTTTCAGGCAGGATGATAAATAACATCAGTGATGGTGATACCTGAAGAGTCGGGTGTGGGGTGAGAGAGAACAGCTTGTGGGGAGGATGTCAGGCAAGGGTGGGGCAGAACTGAGACTGAACCCTCCTGGCAGTGGGTTCCCACTATTGGTCTAGCTCAGTGGTACCAGAGTTCCATTCATTACTTTTCTGCAAAGTACCCTCCTTCCTTTTGAAAATGTAATGTGTTGGGCTGTACCTAACTGACTGACTTATGTAGTAATTAGCCATCTTACCCTTTTAACAAAGTCATTTGCAATTGCCAACCAGTTTCTGGTCAGAATGTGCTAACCAAAATTACCATGCTGAGTTGATGTACTTTCAACCAGAAGCACAGAATCTTGAAGCTCATCTTGGATAAATGAACCATTTTAGAAGGCTTTTGGAAATGTTGGTGGTGTATATCCAGATTCTTTCTTTGTCCCCAGATCTTTAAGGACATAGGACCTGGGGTTGGGGGACCTGTGAGCTCACCCTTCTCAAGTCTATCGGAGCTGTTTACAGGGCTGGGGAGGGACAGATTTCAGTGGTAAAGGTGTGGACACCAAACTCCATGCTGCAGACTAAATATTTCTCTTAATAGCTTTTCTACTGGAGGCGCCCCAAGAAGAGTTTTCTTTTCTAACATTGTTACCTCACATGAATAAATCTCTGTTATGAGGGAAAGCTGCAAAGGTGAGACTTTTGCTTAAAAAAAAAAAAAAGACTTCTCAGCAATAAAATTGGTTCCTCTTCCTGAAGCAGAGCCCTCAGGGGGTAGGGGTGTAACAGTGAGATGCTGACTATCACAGGAAGGGGTGCCAAGGTCTTCCCTGTTGGCGCCAGAGGGCCCACCTCAGGGCTGCACCTCAAACAATTAATTCAGACTCTCTGGGGCTGGGGTCTAGGCATCAGTAAAGCTCAAATCTCCCCAGGTGATGCCTGTGGCCACCACTGCTCTAGAAACACAGTATAGTGTGCTACTCAGGCCAGCAGCATGGGCAGCAGTGGGCACTGGCCATGCATGCAGAATCTCAGGCCCCACCTCTACCCTCTGAATCAGAATCTGCAGTTCCACAAGGTCTCTGGTACATTCATGTGTGCATGAGAGTTAGAGAAGCAGCTGTCTAGACTAGCATTTCTCAGATGTGCAACTGGGACTACCTGCATCCAGCTCACCAAGGGGGTGAGAAGGTAGGGGAGAATGGGGTTTGGGGAACTTCCTAAGAAAACCGATGCTGGAGGCTGAGTCTATAAATCAGAGGGTGGGCCCTTAGAATCTGCATTTAAGTGTGCTCCCATGTGATCCTTACATTGGCCCTTTGAGAGGCAGTCCCAAGAGAAAAGTCAACAGTAAGAGCTGCCTTCTCCTGTCCTGCTTGGAAATTCCTCTGGTGACTCTAAAAGAGTCAAAACACAGCCCCTTGCAGGTGGGGGGTGAGCTGGTGATAACCTATGAATGTTTCCACTTGACAAATGTGATGTCTTGCTTTCTGACACAGAAATGAGTCTCAGTTCTCTTGGGTCAGGGGCTGAAAAAGCTGCAGTGTGGCTCCCGGGGCTGCTACCTGAACAACAGGATTAACAATAAAAAAATGCTGAAGCTCAGCTGTATCCTTGGAGGGTTTCAGAAAACCCTGCATGCACAGTAGAGTCAGAGAAAGAGCCAAGTTCTTCGAATTTGGAGGTCATTTTTGAACTTTTTGCTGAGGCCAGCATTTCTTAATGTAACATGGGTAAAAACTGAAGCCAGAGAGGCAATTTTGATTGTTCTCAAAGATGAGTTTGCAGTGTGTCATGCTCCTATGTCCCTTTCGAATGTACACTTCTGCCTGTATAAGATATTGAGACGCTTCTATGATCATGGCCATTTTAAATGGATTTATGTCCCTTTTGAATGTACATTTCTGCATGTGTAAGCTACTGACACGCTTCTATAATCATGGCCATTTTAAATGGATTTATCTTCAAATGCCTAAGGTTCTGGAGATGGCTCACATGTGACTCGAGATGACAGAACTGAAATCTTTGTAATTATAGATGAAATAAGACCAAGGATCATGAAATGGAATGGGGAACTGCAATGCGATCTACATGTAGTTGTTATATAATTATTGAGTGAAATTCAGCAAAAGCAGAGAAACTTAAAACTTAAAAATGATTTTTGAGGCTTTGCTTTAAAGGCCATCTTTAGAGTAGTGTTTCTTGAGCCTTTGGAGGAGGGAGTGCAATGGAACTCCTTTGAGAAGTTAATGAAAAGCTACCAACTCTCTGTTGTGTGCCCATGAAAGCAACTTACACCAATTTTCAGAGTTCCACATACTCCTCCCAGCCCATATTCAAACCTCAGCAAGTTAACACTGAATGTTAAGAAAATTGCTCTGTATTGATCTCTTGGAACCCACTTTTGAGAGAAGAACAGCACCAAGATCTCCGGCAGCTGGTAAAATCAGGACTGCTGTTTTCACTTATATGGAGGCAATTAGGTCCCTAATCTCCTGGGGACTGGCCCAGGCCAAAGGTGAAAAGCCAGGCCACTGGATTATGCCAGGGGAAGACTCCCTTCAGTGAAGAAACCTGCACTCTTTCAGGAAGGCTGCCTCAACCGAGTTTAGGGGGAGAAGGAAGGAAAGCGAGGTTGGCTGGCGGGAGGCTGGGGGTTCCTGTGGCACCCTTCTGTCGCAAGTTAAGAAGGAAAGTAGAGTTTTAAAAACATTGCCTATGCCAATGCCTCTGCCTATGTCCCTCGGTTACCTGCAGATTCAAAGAACATCCGAAATGGGGAGACTTGCCTTTTCAAGCCCTCGCCCACTGAACAGATTAGGAATCTCATCCCAGAGGGCGACGGTACTGGGCTCACACTCAAAGCCCTCTGTCCACTGCACCTAGCTGCCCAGCCAGGGGAAAGGTGGGCGCCTCAGTCCTCTCCCTTCACTTGCAAGCCCCCCTGCCTACCGGCACCATGGAGTAGGTCATCATCATCAGCATGTCGTGACTCTCAGCGCGGACGTGTGGCGCCGGCTCTCCGCTGTGGCTGCGCTTGTTGCGCGCAGCGCTCGAGAGGTCGGTGGGTGCAGCGGACGCCCCGCGGGGCGCCCGGCTCAGTTCAGTCAGGAAGGCGCGCAGGGCGCTGTCCTCGCGTTGCTCCCGGCCCTGCTGCGCCTCTAGCGCGCGCAAAGCCGCGCTCAGCCCGCGCCACTGGCACAGCGTGAACACGGTGCCCGCCGCATTGAGCGCCGAAAGCAGCGCCACGGCCACCAGGGCGCCGCGCAGTCCCCAGCCCGCGCCAGTACCGCCTCGCTCCGTGCCTCCAGCCATGCTTTGATGCGCCTCAGGCCGAGGAGGGCTCGACAGCCTCCCGCCCCGGCAGCCTTTATACATCGGGGGCAAAAGCCGTGGGCTGGTGGCAACCCCGTGAGTCACGCCGCCCTTTGGCTCGGCTGGCGGGGCGGGTTGGGGACAGTAGTGGTGGCGCCCAAGCAGCCCAGAGGGACAGGCGGGTGGAGAGGGGGAGAAGAGCCGGTGGAGACAGACGGGGAGGAGGGGGAGGCAGGGCTCACTCCCAGTGCCCAGCCAAGTGAACCAGCAAACCCGCAAACCCTCCTCTCCCTCCTCTTCCTGCTGCCCTGCCTGGGCATGACCATGGCCCAGACGGGCACAGCGAGGGTCAGACTGAGGGGGAGAGCGGGAATTCTTATGGCCTGAGAAGTTACTGGAATCCACCCCCTCTGTCCCCCACACTGCAGTCTCTGAAGAGGACCAGCGTGCCCAGATGCCAAGGCACATGCTCACTGTCCCTGAGCCATCTGTTGGCAGAGTCCCAGGCTGCGGGTGCCTCCCTGAGGAGCCGGTGGGCCTTTTCCAGGAAGGAGATGGATAGAGAGGTAGTTGGTGTTGGAGAACTGAAAAGGCCACCTGTCGGAATCCGGAAAACCCAGCCCCTCTCCTCCCGCCTGACCCTCTGGGCTGCTCAGGCGCCACCCCACAAGACACCCAAATGAGGCCACAGGATGACAAAAAAACCAGAGAGTGGGAATATGAAAGCTCGAAACCCATTCTGCTATTATTCAGCTAGGGACCCTGCGCATGTCCCAAGACTACCTGTGCTGATTTTGAGGTGTTCTCTGACCAAAGGCTGGGGGCTCTGGCCAGCCCCTTCTGGACTGAACATTGCTGGCCTGCTTGAGTGGGCAGCTGCCTCATGCTTTCTCTTTACAATGCCCTCCCTTTCTTGTCAGCTCAGATGCCTGCTGTGCATCTGAGGACCACTGTTCCCTAAAGGCAGAGACACTTCTCAGTTTCCTCAGAGAACCTGTTCACTCCCTGTCTTTCTCTGCAGAATGGCTCTGCCTCTCAGGGTTCCCCCGGCTGGTAACAGGCAGCAGTGGTCTGGGAAGATCTCAACCAGAAGCCAAGATTACTGTTTCTACAGCCCCTTGCTTCAGAGAGTGAGGTGGCTTCCTGCAATTAGGCCAGCTGGAGCTGTCAAGGAGAAAAACTTCCTCAAACACTGGGGTGGGAGACACATGGCCGTTTCAGCAGGATGGGGGGAATTAGGAGGATGGGGGAGCAAACTACTTACTAACTGATGACAGGAGCTCCATAACCATCTTCTCCAGAGATTTGCATTCCAATTCCTGAGGAAGGATTTCTGGCCAGAAGAAAAGCCTGGGTGGTAGTAGATTTCTTGGCCTCTATTCACCAGTAAGAGGCAGAACCTTTGAAAAACCAAAAGAAAACTGAAATTACATCTCAATAAGAAGCTCAGTGTTAAGGTCTAGACTCAAATTTTCATAGGAATATTGACTAGCTTGATTATGAGGGATGAGGAGGAATTGGGAAAGGCGGAAATTCCAAGTTGTTTGTGAAGGACCCCAGTTAAGGGAACAGGATGGTTGGGGGGATAAGGGGTGGAGATGATACAGGTAACTTTGTCCGGTTCTTCCCAACTCTAACATATTGTGAACTAGTGAGAGAATCGTCATGCATCCTTCCTTCCTTCTTTTCATCCAGGCTTAGGATGCCGGCTGTGGTTCAATGGGCAGAAACCACAGAGAAACAGTTGAGGCTCAGCTCTCTCTTCATTTAATGGCTAAAATTTCCTCAACACCTGTGTGTTGTCATAGAGATGGGTGTTGGAGGTACAGAAGTGAACAAGATGCGCAGCTCGCAGTGTGAGCAGCGGGAGAGCCACGTGCCTTTGGAACTCCCCTTTATTCTAACAGTCAATACAGTGACTGCTAACTGGCCATCTGACACCAGTGCCCACAGTCAACAATAAGACTCCTGAGTTTAGGGTCACATCTTGTTTGACCCTGTCTCCCTCACACCAGCACAGTCTGGCTTGAAATGGTCATTCACAATTACCTGCTAAATGAGTGAACAAAGGAATGAGTAAGAGGGTGTATAGTGGGATATTTCTATGTGAAACAATCTGTAATCAGTGTCAGAGTTTAAGCCACAGAACTGACAACACCTTCCTTGGACTGTGCCTGACGAATGGAGAGTAAGGCTAGCCAGATACCCCTTTTCCACCCAGCCTTGGCCCCCTAGGTCCAGTGCCCAGAGCCAGACAAAGTGAGGTTCCAGCTCTGCTTGGAACCAGCCAGGCTTTAAATGGCAACTACAGGCCAAGATGCTGCCCCTCATAGGAGGCAGGACTCAAAGGACTTGTGGCATGGACAGCGGACCATGGGATAGACCTGAGTTTGCAAACAGTTTTTTTTTTTTAAAGATTTATTTATTCGTACAGAACTGGGGTACAGGCCAGAGATGCGGAGGGTGAGAGGATTCACCAGAGATAGAGCGGGGTGCAGAACAGACAGATCGACGAAGTACACTGCTGAGGGGAGCAGCGGGCAGGTCAGGAGAGGGCAACCACACCATGTGGTCACCTCCAGGGCAGGCGGGGATCGAACTCATGCGGAAGTGATTTAAGCTTCTTAGTGCTGTGCTTTAACCCACTGCGCCACCAGGGAGGACCGCAAACAGTTTTTAAAGATGACACTTGGAGTATGCGACTCAACTTCTCACAAGAGATTGTAATCTCACAAGGGTCTTGAAGACAAGGAGTGAGAAAATACAGGGTGGTGGGGTGCTTGAGATGTTGCACTGAAACACAGACAGGGACAGAAAGAGGGTAAAGGAAAAGTCATTTTTTTCCCCACCCAACTTTTCTCCCAGTTTCTTCTCCTGGTGGCACAATGGGTTAGGACGCAGCACTGGAAGCTAGCCTCATCTGCTTCAGTGTGAGTTCAATCCCCAACCCCAGAGGTGACCCACATGGCGCAACAGATCTCTCCTGTCTCTCCTACTGTTCCCCTCAGCAGTGCACTTCATCAACAGGCCTGTTCTGCTCCCCGCTCTGTCTCTGGTGAATCCTATCATCACCCCTGCACCTCTGGTCTGCACCTCAGTTCCGTATGCATAAATAAATAAATATTTTTTAAAAAGAGGGAGAAAGAAGGGGGAAGGGCCTATTATGATGGCCTCCATAACAGAATAATCTTCACTCAACTCTCACCTCTGATGGCTGGATCCAAGTCACTGACCTTGCTCTGTTCTCTTCCCCTTCCTGCCCTGTCCTGTCTCCACTGTCATTCCACATATTGCCCCTTTGAAAGACAGCACAGAGCTCCTTTCCCTCCCCTCTCTGTCTTTGAGCTCCATGGACTCTGGGGACTTAAGAGGCTGTGTGTATGAGCTTTGAAATGAGAAGAGACCTGAGCTCAAAACCTGTTTTTAATGATGAGACTTGGGGTATGTTACTCAACTCTCACAAGATTTTAAATTCTCACAAGGGTTTTGAAGACAGTGAATGAGAAGATACATGTGAAACACTTGGTGTACAGTAAATGTTCAGTGGATCTCAGTGCTCTTGGCTGTGGGCAGCCTTGTGCCTTGTGCTGCTGACAAATGTCTTAGTTCTTTCAGATATTAGTTCATAAGTTAGGCTAGAATGTGCTTAAGGCATGGACTCTCCTTACTGCTTCCCTCACTGAAGTAATTTGTGCCAAGCAGGAATATTGAATTATTCAGTTGATTAGCTAGTCACACTTTGTTGATTCTTTTTGAGGAACAGCGCTTTTGAAAGAGTGGAAAACTTGGCCTCTGGCCTGAGTACCGCCTTAGAGGCTGGTTATGTGGGAACCTTCATTTCTGGCCGTGACCTCTTGAAAGGCAGAGACGGCTTTGTAGACTGCCTTCCTAGCATTTCTCAAGATGGGCCTGCACTTTCTACTTACTATTATTAAAAAAAAAATTAGCCATTAATCTGGCCTGTTTTGTTGACATAGGGGGTTCAAGATACAGTGAGGACACAGGGAGATGTCTGAATTTCCTTTTTTGGAGACCAGAGAAGCCAAGAACATTGTGTACTATCTTTACAATGAGAAGTAGTTTTTCCATTAAGGGCAGATGCTTCATTTCCAAAGGTTAAATAGAATGGTCCTTAAAACTGATTCCAGCTGGTTAACTTTAGGGCCCTGGAAAATAAAATCCAATTCAAGATGATAGTCCAACTTTAACTCCATATCATTTCCTTCTGATTGTAAAGTGAATAATTTTCATTTGCTCTGTGGTCTGGAACTTGGGTATTTAGGTTCTCTCTGATGAGGTTGGTAGCTATCTTGTGAATTCTGACAGTATTTTACCGCCTCCCTAGCCCCTACGTTTTTTCTTTACCAGGGGTTGGGGCAAAGACTCCCTAATAGTTGCCACCATACATATTTTCCACTCAGTTGCTTCTGGTTTTAATTCCCATTTCTACATTTTAACCACAAGATTCCAAGCTACCCAGCCAAATTCAGTTTGCTTCAGTTGTTCATTCACTCATTCCTCCATCCATTATTTACCCAACTATCCAACAAATGGTAGCTGGGTATCTGCTATCTGCTGGGAACTGTTTTAGGAGTTCAGACTAGAATAGAGAGCAAAACTAGATACCATTCCTGCCTTTCTGAAGCCCATAAAGGAGACAGAAATGATCCAGTAAGTACAGACTAGGGGGCATAATTTTAAACGAGATGATGAGATGAATCTCCTGAAGTAATGGAGAATGATTCTGTGAGCTTACATCACTGAGAAATCTATCCTAGAAATGGAGCCAGGGAAGGCTTTTCTGAGGAGATAATGATGTTTGGGCTAGAATCTGAAGAGGAGTGGGCATGCCCTAGATGGGGGTGTGGGTGGGAGAGTTACATGAAGAGGGGAGAGCCTGTGTGAGGGCCAGTGCCAGGAGGTACCACAGTTGATTTTGTCAGTGTAGCTGGGTAAGCACAGAGCACAGGGCTCCAGCAGGAGAAGGACTGGAATGAGACCACTGGTGGAGTGAGGGGCCTGACTCTGTGGGCAGGGCCGCCTAAGGCTGGAGCCTTACTGTAAGACCAGCGGTAAGCCAGCGAGGGCTCTTAAGTGTGTGTTGTATGTGGAGAGTTTGGTGGGTGACACATTTTCATTTTCAAACATTACTTTTTATTGTCAAGA